ATATGGGAAAAGAAATAAGACTTTTTTGCTAGTTTCTTCCCCTTTAAAGCTCTGAAAATGGAATATGACTAGCCTGTGGCAGCATGTGCTTGTGGATGCACAATTCTCTGGCTTCATTCTTGGAAGGCCTTTTTCTGTCCCTCCCTAGGGGTCATTTGTATCTCTGGTTCTTGCTCCCAGAGCCATAAAGTGGGAGCCCCCATTTATTAATTGGGTTGGGACTGGGGAGAGGGTCGGCGGGGGACTCTTTAGTGCGGCGGGCGGGGGTCTTCCCGAATGAGCCCATTAGCCAGCCCCAACGGCAGCTGAAAACGGGGCCGCAGCCAAGTCCTCTCCGTTTCAAAAACCCTCCATCGCCTGCAGCAGATCAGAACAAGGCCTGCGGGAGCCCTTAGCTTCTGATTGCAGCTGTGAGGAAGGACAAAACAATTTATAGGAAGCCAAGTAGCTCCTGTCTCACTGTCTCTTCCTTGCCGACTTTGGGGAGGGAAAAGGCTGGGATGTTGTGTCTCCTCCTGCAATGGCCTCTTATAGGCATGGATAGACATAAAGCAGGAGAGAAGAGGAGTGTTTCAGCATTGATTGGACATGTATGTTAGTGCTGCACAAGGGTTTATACATGTCCTTGCTTTCTTCTCATCCACACACAGTTGTGTTGGATTAGCAGCTGCTGCTTGTATGGGGCTCTCTAGGGCAGAACTAAGTGTGTGCTTAGTTTTGGGAGTAGAGGGGCCTGCTCTTGCCTCTTTCTGTCCCGTAACTGCCTTCATTCTCCTATCAGCTTCATTAAGATTCAGGGTTTAGAGTTAGAACACCTCCTTAACTTTTCCTCTTAAGTGGAGGAATTTGGCACTTTAAATGATTTATTTTATTATAATTTTTTTTAAGTTTGTTATAGGGCATGTGTGCGCACGAGAGAGAGGAAAAGTGAGAAAGCAAGCTGTCAGCTATGGGACTTGAATCACTGTCAGCCAAGTGGGAGTCCAGCGCCCCAACCACCTTGCCACCTGTTGGCCCTGAGTTTGGCACTTTAAGAGACCTGCTACAGAGACTCACTTTTCCTTTTAGTTGAGCCTGCATGAGTAAGTCAGAATCTACAGGGCAGCACCTTCTGCAGTGTCCCAGAGAAGGTATGAGGCAGAAACGTCTCATTTTCCTGATGGATACTTGAATCTTCTCTCTTATAGAATGATAGATTGCCAGAACGAGAAAAGAGGCCACAGTCTCCAGCCTCAGTTTACAGAGCAGGAAACTGAGACTTACAAGAGAAGTGCCTCATCCACAGTATCATAGCAAGTTAGTGGCAGCCAAGCAAGACTAGACCCAAGGGAACCAGCAGTTAGCGTAATGGCTATGTCGCTGGACTCCCACGTAGTCAACCGCAGTTCACGTGCCGGACTCGGTGGCTTAGAACTCACGCCGGGCGCGTGTGCGTGCGTGCCCAAGATCCCGGGAGGAGAATGGAGGAGAAGGGATTGCAGCGTGACCATCCCCTCTGGGGGGTGATTTCTTGCTTTCTGTCGCTATGTCTCTCTCTGTCTGTCTGGTGAGCGTACTCGCCCTATAGCGAAAACTTCTCAAAAAAAAACAAAAAACAAA